TTCAAAGACAGTCAGCTTTTATTTTCGTGTCTCATAATCTTTATCCAAATTTTATAGGGTTCGATAGATCTTGAAATTATCTTTCCAATGATATATTATAATATTAAATCCTAGCTATAACGAAAAAGATATGAATGAGACATGAAACTCTATCCAAAATTGACACCTTCCACTATTTCGGTCATATCTTTTTATCTACAAAAGATTTTAATCTGATTTTAATTGGGTTGGAAATTAGACTTCAAGAGCTTTCCAACGACATATTATATGCCTTATTTGGACTTCCGGATCAAAAGATATGATAAAAACAAAACGTGTGAGGCTTGGCGCCTGACGCTAACCTTCAGCGTCTGGCGCTAATTGCCAGCGTCGGCGCTAATCAAGTTTTATTTGCGTCAAAACTCTGTTTCGATTTTTTATCTTTTTTGCTGATTTTCTCTATAAATAGCCTTCTAAAAACTCCGTTTTAAATCACCAATTCTCACCAACTCTCATCAAGAAATTCTTGATTCTTTCTCTCTTTCTAGCCTAGCTTTTTACAAACATAATTCCTCATACATTAGCACTAGAAACACCTAGCATTTGTTCGAAGTTGCCTTCGCCCTAGACGTCAAAGGTTTTAATTTCTGAGGGTTTGGTCCCAAATCTCTCTTTTAATAATTATTTAATTTAATTTGTTTTAATTATTATTTTCCTTGAAGTTACTAACGTGTGTATTTTGTTATTAGAAAGAGGTACGAGACATCCAAGTAAGTATTTTAATGGTTTTTATTGATGTTATTATATAGAAATCATGCTTAGATTGTTATTATGATTCCTAGTATCATGTTAGGATGTTTTCCTTAATTTGATGTTTAGGGTGACAACAATAAATTCTTAGTATCATGTTTAGGGTAAATTTAATATCAAGTATGATTAAAAGTATGATGCTTCCTATGTTTTTCATAATATTCATGATAGTATCATGATAGGGCTATATATTTGATCTTTGATGTTTAGTGACATGCTAGGGTTTGTTATCAATCTTGTTAGTATCATGCCTAGGATCTTGCTATTATTATGCTTTAACATGATTATGATAAATATGATTATTTTATGATGATTACTATTATTATGATTATAATTGTTACAATAATTATTGTTATTGTTATTATTATGTTGCTTGATTTTTATTGTTATTGCTTGATCACACCTTTTTATGCATGTTTAAAGGGAATTCTCGGAGGGGCTTTTAGTGGATTCGTGAGTTGTAATCACGCTTAATAAGATAATTAATAATCTTGTTTAGGGTTAATTTGATTATAATTCAAGTGATCGCCAATAATAGTTTTATTTGTGCATTAATATTCAACCAACATAGATAAACAGGTTTAGGGTAGACCTATTGATTGCATGTTAGTCACAAAGCGCACGCACATGAATACGATCAGAATAAAGTAGAGGCCTATTATTAGGGCAGGTTCAATCTCTTTTAGGTTGGATTTGTACTTTCATCCCCGAACTACCAGTCATGGTTCCAGACCTATTGGAGTTGACGATCTCTTGGATCGTTAAGGGGTGTAACCTTCACCCTGTGAACGGTTTACAAGTTCCTAAAACTTGTTGGCGACTCTTTTGCTCTATCTTCTTTCCCTTTGGACGTCACCGTACTTTAGTGTATGACCACAGTGGGGTTCAAGTTTGGGGTAATGCTTGAAATATTCCCTACAAGATGTCATTCGCGTTTTTGCTTTATTAATGGCAAGCCTCCCTTGAGGGTGTATGCCAATGGGCGGCTATGCGAGTTCGTGATGAAATCGAACTCGACTCCATGGTTTGGGTGGATTTAAAAACTCGGATGAACCCTTATTGTCATGAATGTTTTCGGGTTGATAAAGCTTAAATCCTCCAAGGCTAAAAAGTATGTAGAACACATACGATTAAAAAAAATGAAGGAACATACTTATGCAAAAAAAGCAGAACCACTAGAATGTTTGTAGCAGTAATGTGACATGTCATTACATACCATGTAATGGTATTCTATGCCCTGCCACGACAATTTTTCCGTTGTGTGGTGCTGATAAAAACACCAGAGTGCTTTGTTTTTTTTTTTTATTATTTTTTTATCGCGATCAGGTTATTCGATTTTTCCTACGAAGCGAACCTAAATGCGACGTTAGAAAGTCAATGCATATGCACCAATGCCAAATTAATCACAGAAATACGATTCAAGAATCTTTCAAGTCTCATTCCTTCAAATTGATAAATAACCAAGAATCCTCCCTAGTGGAGTCATCAAATTGTGGCGTCGATTGAAGTGCGCCTACTTAAGCATGTTGTGGATATGTTTGGCAATCATAGGAAGTGAGAATTGACATTATATGATTAGGGACAAGGAAAGTTGGGAGCCGTCAGTAAGTTTTAAGGAACTTATAAACCATTCACGGATCGTTATAAGGCAATCACGAATAAGGGATAACGATAGGCAACAACGATTAACCCATGTTACACCCTATTCATAATCCATGAGATTACTAATTCTATTTGGTTCGGAACCACAAACAGAGGATTGGGGGTGATGGTACAAAGTGAGTCATGGAGTCACATTCTCCCATATTGGCCTTTACCCGATTCTTATTGTGAAAGTATTTTTGTGATCTGAAAGGCATGCAAACAAAGATTCAATTTCCTCCAAACTAATATTAGGCTAAATTGGTTGAATATTAATGCAACATATAATTCTAATTATTAGTGACCACTTGATTAAACAACAAAGTTAAAAAGGAACCTAAACCAAACATCCAAATTATCTTATAAGGCGTGATTGCAATTACATATTCCCTTTAAACATGCAATATGGTGATCAACAAAATAAAACAATATAATCATTATCAACATTGGAAGCAATTTAACCATGATAAGAACGATTATTACTAAATGACTAACATAACCAAAATAGTTAGAATTATAATAGGAACAAAAGGAACATATTCCTTACTTTAATTTGATTGCGTTTGCTTGCAATTATAAATCAATAAACTCGTTAGTAACTTCAAGAAAATAAATAATAAAATGGAAATTAAATCAAATGAAAGTAAATTAAAGTTTATTTGGGCCAAACTCTCAAACATTTCTACCTTTCACGTTGGCTTATGTACATATCGAATTTCGGGTAAAGTACAGACTCTGGGGAGTGCTTAAGGGGTGAATTGTGAGAAAAGGGAAGACAGGTATTAAGGCTAGAGCATAAGAGAGAAGGAGAGAATTAATAGGTTGGTGCCTCAAATCTGTTAAATTATATTAGCCCTTGTATTTATAGAGGAAATTGTGAGGGATGCAGTCCAGAACCCTAGAATTGATGCGCCGCAAAAGAAATGTACATTGTGCCACGACATTGGGCACCGTGGCATAGTATAGTCTGCTGTGGCATAGTACTTATACCGTAGCACGGTAATCAATTCTATCATTTCTGAAGGTCAAAACGCGTAAAAAGATAAAAGTGGGTAAAAAGAAATGTCGTGGCACGACAATGTGTATCGTGGCACGATATTTAATACCGTGCCCCTGCCATGGTTAATGAAATGGAGTAAACACAGTTTGGGCTGAAATGAGGTTTGGACAAGCTTTGACTAAATACTTGGACTAAAATGTGGACTGATTTGTATATTGATGTTGGACTAATTATGGATTTTAAGAACTCCCGAGATTAAATACTCGACCCGACCATTAATGGTTGTGAAAGGTTATTTACCATTGAGTTTGGTTTTGAGGAGACATCATGCCAACTCTTCATTGGTCATCGCGCACCTTTTGGACGGAGCTGATTGCGTCCTATACAACTAGCCCCTTAAGAGGTCGTATGACTCATGCCATCTCTTTTGAGTGCGTAACTTCACTGGTAATTACTCAATAGGATGTCTGACTGCAATTCCTCCCATACAACAAGCCCCTCAAGTCTTAGGAGTGCCTATGCGGTTCTAAGACTTAAGACAGTAGGTTGTGAAGTGATGAAGATGTTGTTGGGGCCTTTTGGGGACCATCCCACCTTTAAGTCTTTAACTCTTGATATACCCTTACTTAATAAGATTCGAACCTTAAAACTTCGGGTAACAAGGAAGTATGATTGGAGCAAAGATATGGTAATCTGAAAATAGTATAGTGCACCATGCTCATGGTGCACCGGAAAGAACATTAGACATATTTTAAAGAACATGGAAAAAAAATGCTAGTGTTTGAAAAAGAACATACTTGTGTTTGACAAAAGAACATGTTTGTGTTTGACAAGAACATGACATTATAAAGAACATAAAGTCTTTATAAAAAGAACATATTATTTTTCATGATTACTTGGGTGGTTGAACGTGTTTGAAAAAGAACATAATATTTGACAAAAAAGAACATGTTTGTGTTAGACAAAGATATAGGTGATCATTGGGCGGGCCGGGCCAAGGTTAAAAAATCGGCTCACTTTTCGGATCGGGCCAAGTTTTGGGCCGAAGTTTTTGTGCCCAAACCCGCCCAAAATGTTCCGATCGTGCGGACTTTTCGGGTCGAGTAAAAAAAATAACTAAATTGCATAAAAACGCATTCCCAAACCCGCCCAAAAAAAATAAATTTACGGGCTGGGTCCAATCCGATTTGGGGAGCGAAAAAATTCTGCCCAAAACCCGTCCAAAATCGGGCCGGGTCGGTCTGGTCTAACTTTGATCACCTCTAGCCAAAGAACATAAAGTCTTTACAAAATGAACATGATAATACATTAAAGAACATGTTCTTTTTTCTGATTACTTGGGTGATTGATTTTTATTTATTTATTTTTTAATATACATACATTAAAGAATATATATTGTATAATGTAAAGAACCTATTGTTCAAACTCAAAGAACATAATAATCAAACTTAAAGAGCATATTATATTATGCTCACGTTCATTACAAATATATATAATATTTTTTTTTCGCCCATATTCTTTTAAATATACCAAATGTTCTTTGCGGGTGCATGCCGGTGCACCAACCATACATTAATGGTAATCGTCTAATCAAAAGCCACTCTCTTTTCCATGTTGAGCTCCATTAGCATTTGCCATTTGGTATCCAAAAAGAGGTGCATGACATGAACTACGCCTATCATCGCTTCCATCTCATTAACACTTCCTCTGTTCGCTATACTCCTCTCAATCTCAATTTCCAAAATCATCACCTCACTCAAACTAGGTAATTTTCTCTCAACTTTCTCTTTCTTTTTAATTCTTCAATTCTGCATTTTTAAGGGTTTTCTTCATCTCATTCATAATCCCATTTTACAATTTTTTCTTCATTTTTCTGGGGATTAGATGGGTCACATTATTATCACTTTTAACAAAAATATATCTTCAATTAATCATGTTTCTTCCTTAATTGTTTTTGTATAATTTGCAGGATTGTAGTTTGCAGTGCAAGAAAGTTTTCAATGGAGGGTATTGAAAGTGAGGATATGGTGGTGGGTGACACTCTTGCTCTTCAGAAGAAGATTGCTGCTATTCGTGCTGCTGGACCTTCCAAGCTTCAGGTTTAAGCTTTGTTTTTCTCAATTTGTTTTTTGTTCATATGGGTTCATGGTGAGAACATTCAGTAATGGCAATTTCTAAGAAGTTCGAATTTATTTTATCTAAACTTAAGAATCCTTTTATGAAGTATTATATTGCTTGCTTGTTTGAACGCCTTAATCCCATAACTGGGGTTGGGTTAGCTACGTGGACCAATACGAGGACTTTAGGTCACCCATCCTAGTACTACTTCCAGGAAGTATTATATTATTGGACCTTATTTTTCGTTTTTTAACTCATTAAGCCATAATTTTATCTTATCTGGACTTATATGAATTTATTACCCTTATTATATTTTGTGTGAAAATAGGGTGAGGAAAGCATACTTTTAGAGAACTGAAAAGGTACATTCTAGTATTGAGAACTGATGATTAGAATCTGATTATGACAGTAGTTATGTGTATTTGTCACAACTATTGATCGTGCTTCAGCGCTTGCTATAAGAGTTTTGTGTGTCTCCCCTTGCTTGTTGCCTACTTTGATGTGCTTTGAGGGTAAAAATGTAAAACATTACTCCCTCCGTTATTCACATATCTGGCTTAATTTTTTCACCTCTATAAAATAATAAATGTTTTATATAATATGTCATTAGATTTGTCATAATGTCTAGTTTCATAGTATAATTTTGTTTCAATTTTTACTAATAAACAATTAAAGATATAAATGGTCAAAGTTGCATCTTGGCAAATGTGCCGGTCAAACTGATGCAAAAAAAAAAAAGAGTAATTGCTAGTGGTTAGGTACTTGTTACACATTTTGTGCACTTTGTAGTGGTGAAGGCCATCTTATGCTAAGGTATAAACTATAAAGTGGTACTCAGAGCACATCATCGAAAGAATTAGATCAACATAAGTAAAGATCTGGTGCTGTAAACTTGTGATAGATTCCACTACCATATTTTTGTCTAATGGTGCTAATGAGATTCCACTCCTATGAGTTGACACGAGCTCCCAAATACATATATTTTGCGAATTCCTGTTTAATTAATTTTTGTTCTGTTGCATCCAATTATGTACTAGTATATTTCTACTTGTGTAAGCTACCTAGATTTATCGAAGTATGTATACATTCAGATTGCTAATTAGGATGGAATGAATGAAACAAATGCCTTATGTGAGAGAGCAATAATTCCTTGCAGAAGCTTGACACATTTCACTTGTTAGGTGATTGCTGATTTTGATGCCACATTAACAAAATATAACATCAATGGCCAAAGGGGGCAAAGTAAGTCTGCCTCCAATCCTTTATTATATTAATATTCTTGGTCCTTTCACTCTATAATACATAATGCTTCCATTACTGTTTACTAATATCATGCATAGCCAGTCATGGGCTTCTACAGCAGGGGAATCCAGAGTATGATAGAAAGAGACAGGAGCTATATGACCATTACCGTCCAATAGAAATTTGTCCAGAAATTCCAATTGATGAGAAAACAAAGCTTATGGAAGCGTGGTAATTTTCTATATCATCTAATGTAGACCTCCTTGATATCTACCTGCTAGAATTTCTTGTTCCCTGCTTTGTCAGTCATGTAAATGATGTAATATTGACCCTAAAAAAAACCATGGCTCTACTAAGCAGTACAGTTATTTTTCAATAGGACATCAACCTTTTGACTGTATAGTTCATCTATACACTATCTTGTAGTTGTCGATAATACTTTCTTATGTAAATACACTTTCAACCCCATTTAATTTGGTGTTATTTTCATTTGCTGATGTCCCGTATTATATGAAGAAACACAACAATAACATCGTCCCAATGCTTTTAACAAAGCTAGAGTTCTAAGAAGGGTTGGGGTTAGAGTGTATGAAAAAGCCACAAACTTATACTTCCTCTGTTCTTTTTTAGTCGCGAGGTTGGAGACTTCACACTTGTCAATGCACATTTTATAACTAAAATATTTTAAGCATAAAAATTATTAAAAAGTTTACATTATGAAAGTTTGGAGGCAAATCTAATAAGATCCCACATGACTTTTTTTTTTTTTTTCCAAAGTATAAATCACAAAAGTCAATCATAAGAGTGAGTGTGAATGTAAAATTCCAAATGTTCTGAATAAAAAGAATGAGGAATTACTTCTTAAAAGGATAAAATTATACAGCAGTCATTGTTTACTACTGCCCAAATGGTGATTTTAATATTGGTTCCATGTTTAGTTGAAGTCTTTTTGAAAAAAATTAATATAATAAAGGGTGTGTTCATAAGAAATCAAACGTGCTTGTGCAAAAGTTTGTATCACAAAATAGGACAATGGGAGCCATTTATTTTAGTTTGTCCACTATTAGCAAGCCAAGAATGAAATCTTCTTTGAATTATTAGCAAGAAGATATACCATTTGAATCAAAGACAGTGTGAATGATACAAGAACTAAGAAGAATTTTAGATCATTCTATGACCACCCCCTCAAAGTTTTATTGAAGCATCCAAGGGAATTGCTAGCTTTCTAATCATGCTACCTTTAAAGGCAATCTATTTGGCAAGGGGTTGGGTTAGTGAACCATGTCCTTGATTCTATTTCTGATTGTTATTTTTCCCAAAAAAACAGGTGGGGAAAGACACATGGACTTCTTGTTGAGGGAGGTCTCACATTTGATGATATAAGAAAGTCTGTTGCTAATGCCAGAATGGCATTTCGAGAGGGTGTAATTGAACTGTTTCAGATTTTAGAGGTGATTATTCTTCATCTTTTAATCCTTCATTTTTAAGATCTTGTTGTTTCTGTTACATGCATATTTAAAAGTAAATTTTCTGCTTCACATTAGTTTGTTGAAGATGAACAACTGAACAAGTCCATTATAATTGGGGCTAGAAAATGATCCTGTTTCCTCACTCATCCTCTGTTTACTTATTACCAGCTCCCAAGCCAAAGCAAAGCGTTTTCAGCTCTAACCCATTAAGCCCATTATCTGTTTCCGTCTTATTAATATGCAAATAGTTCCTCGAGTCCATATGAGATGGCTCTTACCAATCTTCTTGCTCTATAATGCTCTCATTTGAATCATAAATGCATATCACTGCCCACATTCATGAGCCATAGTCCTATGAAATCTTGGTTTGAGCGAAATTCATGTTGTGTTTTCTTCTTCATCTATGTAGTGTGTTACAAAGTTTTTCCTGGAGCTCCTTATTTAACACTAGCACTTTTTTGTATATCAAGACATGTTAAAAAAATTTAATTGTTGAAGTTCCCTTTGTATATTTTACTAATTGTTTGTTGTTTCTGGTGCAGAAAAAAGATGTTCCTATCCTAATATTCTCTGCAGGACTTGCGGATATCATAGAGGAGGTAGGTGTGAGTTTTTGTTGTTTCTTTAATTAATTGTGGTTTTTATGCTCCCTTACGTTTTGTTCCATGAAATGAGCAGGTCCTCAGGCAGAGAATTCAGAGATCTTTTAAAAACATTGAGATTGTATCAAACCGGATGGTCTTTGATAACGAAGGGAACCTATCAGCTTTTAAAGGTATTTCTGTTATATATGAACCTCATTAACATGTGTATACTCTGTTCTTATGTAGTCATGTATTGACGATCATCATTGAAAGAGATATGGTTACACTGTTATTCTACTAGGACTATTTTTTGTTTTGGCCTCATACTTTATGAGCTTTTCTTACTTGCTGAACTACCCTCAAAGAGTTTTAATTTGATCCATCATCTATATTTATTCTTCTATCTTGTTGTTTCCAGGAAAAACTATTCATGTCTTGAACAAGAATGAGCATGCCCTGGATATGGCAGAACCTTTACATGATAAAGTGGGAGCTGTGGATGCGCCTGTTATTGATTATGTTGCCATGAAACAGAGAACCAATGTTCTACTTCTTGGAGACCACATTGGGGACTTGGGAATGTCAGATGGTCTTGATTATGAAACACGAATATCAGTGGGTTTTTTGTAAGTTCTTCTTTTCAATGCTATCTTCTATTAAAGCAATGGTATTGGTTTTTCTTTGTAAGTTGTTCTCATCTTCTGCCATGAGTTCATGATCACCTTTGGCTCTCTTGCATTTTATAGCTATGATTTGTCATTCTATCATTGCAACTCCTTTTTCCTTTTTATATTTTATAATTTTTTTTCTGAATATGCAAAGCAGGAACTAGATAGGGAGGGGGGGGGGGGGAAGGTGGGTAAGATTTGTTTTGTTACTATAGAATTCAAATCCTGTAACAAAAATCCCTGATACTCCCTGGTTGGAAAATATAAATCTGCTCTTATAGAAACCTGAGGAGATATTCCCTGTTGAGTAATACAGAAGTGTTCTTTATGAAACTTAAGGTATCAATCTTATCATCCTTCCTTCCCTTTTTAGCCATGGGATTAGCTTGCATGTTTAATCTCCTTGGGGAAAATTCAGCCATTCATGAAGTAATAATGGATATCAGGTCCGTGCAGTTAACACACAAGATTGTTAATTGGATTTTGGACTCCATCCAAGCATGCAATTGGTTTCTTCGAAGTGAATTTAGGGAGTGATCTCCCCATCCCAACAGAGATTAGCTATAGCTATCAAGGATTGTAGCTAATTCTCTATGGCTTTGCAAAGTTAGCCCTTTGCACATCAATGATGCCTCAAGCGAATAACAAGCCCTTAATCATCTTGCTCGAATTTCCTTGCTCGGGCTTCGAAATGGCTTGTGGATCATCAATTTGGGCCTCAAACAACGATTGGTCATAGAAATGCGTTCCAATCTCCAACATCTTGTAGCAGTCATGGAAGAGAGATAAAAAAATGTTCGCTCCTATTTCCTAGATATTTAACTCATTCTCGAAGATCGAAAGATCAGCCTTGGAAGAGAAAAAAAAAATTGGGGTGACAGAGAAAAAGGCAAATCTTAAATCTTACTTTTTCTCTCCTCTCATTTCTAAAAGCAAATTTTTCATATATAATAATTGTCATATTTGCTTATATTCCAAAATGAGCAAATTTTAACTTTTTCTCTATTCTATTTCATTTCTTGAAGCAAATATATCATGCATAAATGCATAAAAAATCATATTCGCTTATTTGCGCAAAATGTACCAATTGAGTAAATTTGTTTGCTTATTTGCATATAATGAGTAAAAAATTCCCACACTCGTCTTCTTCGTCTCCTAACACCATTAATAGACAAATGGTAGCTTTAGCATCACCCTACAACAATAACTATAACAACAATTCTAATCCACAACTCAAATAAAATAACAATAAAGTTATACTTCACATCTTCAATTAAAATTCCCAATAATATTCATCCCAAACTATGTTTCTCACATCCCATAATAGCACATTTAAACTCAAAATAAATTGAACAATTGTGGGGAATAACTGTATGAAAAAGCAGAATCAACACTTGATTTTAAGATTCTCACAATTATATAGTTATTTAATTAGAATTATCAATCTGAGGAGGAGAGAGAAAATAAGTGAAGATGGTGAAGAAGTGGAGAGAGAATTGAAATGGTTCAATAGTTGCATTCGTTTATGAATTTAATTGTAAATTTGCATCTTTTGTATGTAATTCCACCGTGGTTGGATGATATGGGCCGCGTTTGGTTTGATGTAAAACATTTTCAATGAAAAACTAGTTTTCATGGAAAACAGATTTTTAAGGAAAACCACACTTGCAAGATAATTTTCCTTTGTTTGGTTCTTATAAGAAAAGTAAAAGAGAAATTAAAAATAGTACTCCCTCCGTCCCTAAATTACATTCCTCTTTCTAGCATTTATTCCTCACATAATAGAGAGAAAGAGGAATGTAATTTAGGGACGGAGGGAGTTGTGGAAATGTGGGGATGGATGAGAGGAAAATAAAAAAGAAATAAGGAGAAGGGGAGGAAAATGTGGCTTCCCTTGTTTAGTCAAGGAAAATGTTTTCCACCATTATGAATGCAATTTTCCACCCCTTCACAAACCAAACAAAGGAAAATGAAAAATAATGGGAAAATCATTTTCCATGAAAACATTTTACATCACACCAAACGGGACCTTAAGGTCTTTTGGAGGAATATTGGGAAAATGATGGATGTAAAGGGGTTTTGATCAGGAGTTTGTATTGATCTGTACTACGATAAATGAGCTGATAAAAATGAGTCCTTGGACTTACATAGACCTAACTACCTCCCCAGATTTGAGATCCTCTCGCTAAAGCTTTATACCTTACTGGATTGTGAAAATCGCTCTTAACATCTTTAACTGGTGGACTTATGAGAATTTTTATTGAAGTTTGTTAAAGGTCTTACTAAGATGAATAACTAATACATAGTTGTTAGCTCTATCATTTAGTCTATCTCTTACTGTTTTCTTTGGTGATGATTTCTAATGGTTTATTAACTATTTGCTCATCTGGAATAGGCTATTACAATATATACTGCCATGTACTTGTAATTGTTGGAAGATTTTAAATTAGAAAATAACCTCTTTGACATGTGAGGATCAAGCCAGTGCTGATGATATTGAATGTAGAATTTGGGTTGTTGAAACTGTAGGCTTTCTTTGACAGGGACAACATAATAAAATTAAAGGTGTGCTGGAACAAATAATGTATTGAAAGCAGCTGTTTGACATGGTCTAACAAAAACTGACAGTCTGGCCTCAACTCTTACTACCCTATTAGCTGTGCTTCTTGTTCTGGTTTTGGAAGTTGGAATTGGAAATATTTTGGGTTTTAGATTAGTATATCCTCAATATTTGAATTTATGGGATGCTGTCTGGAAAGAACCTCATCATATTTTTCCTATTTTACTCTAGTTATGTTACAGTTATTCACTGGCTACATCATTGTTGGTATCTGCAGTAATGATGGCAATGAGACTGAAAATAGAACATTGTAAATGAGATGTAGAATGATTTGGAAACACGGTTAAGACATATAATAGAGAACAATGGCAACGATTGTTATCTGTAATATCCTCAAGCTCATTAACTTCCCTCTTGTCCGTTGCTTGTGGACATAACTAACATATCGTTAGTGAACCATGTAAAATCTGTATTCTTGTTTGTTGATTTTCTTAATTTTTCTTGCGTCTTTTACAACATTAAGTGATTGAGTTTCCAAGTCAGGTTTTACTGTGCTACCCTTTTTTTTTTCTGGTTGTTCACTAATTGTGGCTATGGAAATTTCATGACAATCCTGTTTCATTGCCTCTTGGTTCCTGATACTCTTTCCTGGAATATTTCTGTATTTGAAATGGAGATATATTGGATGATGTGAAAGCATACTGCTGGCATAAAATTAAATCTGGATGAGTTTTTTATTTTATTATTATTATTAACAATATGCTGAGAAATGAACTTAGCATAGTGACCAAAACAGAGGATTAAGGACAGAAGAGATTCAGGAAGGAAGAAGAATGATAAGGGAAGAATAAGTAAAGATATGAGCATATGATTGTATATTTATGCTAATAAAATTGCCAATTAAAGCCTCCCAGACCTCTTAATACTAATAACTTTCCACAATATTCAACTTAGCTCTCATGTTTCCCATTTTTTTATTGTTTGGTTTGTAAAGCATGGAAAACAATTATGAAAGGTGGAAAATTTATTTCTTAAGAGTTGAAAATTTCTCCTTTCGAAAGGAATGAATGCCATATTCCTTCTAATTCCTCATCCCTTTTCTATCCTCCCATCCATCTTTTGCCTTCTACTTCCATGTTTTCCTTCTTCCATTTGTTTTTCTTGTAAGGAAAAAAAAACCAAGGACAACTGTTTTTACAAGTGTATATTTCCTTTGAAAATTGTTTTCCATGGAAAATCATTTCCCTGGAATATAATTTGTGAATAAAAACCTATAATTAATGAAAAGATGAGGTGGTTATTAAGTAAACAGATTTCTAAAATGATTCTTACTATAATGTCAATATAATTAAATACAAATCTTGATTACTGAAGCACGCAACACTTGGTTAAAATCATTGCTCAATCTGATGATCATAGTAGTAGTCTAGTCTCTAAGACAATGATTCCCAAGGTAGGTTGTATTTTAAATACACACAGATGGTTGACTTAAGGAATTCATGTGAAAAGAATACAAGCCACATAATTTGTTACATTAGATTTTGTTTGGAGCTTTATCCCATGTTTTTCAGCTTCTCTTGCCACCAATGACAAAATTAATATGTAGTATTTCTTCCACCCAAAGTAATTCACCACATTAGTTTAAGAAATTGAGTTAAAATATCATAAAAATCGTTCTTTATCATCTCATCCAAATTGATATTGCCCTGCTTTAGTTTAAGAATTATTAGTTAATGATGTAATTAAAGGGACAAGGAAAGGTTCAAATTTTAATTTACTGAATATTGAAATTGAAATATTATTTTAGGATTATCAAATAGAAAGTTGGTTTATTAATTATTGATGGAGAATAATACAAATAAAGCTGTACCATTCATTTACTATATTAATTTTTTTTTTGTATAGTTGTAGCCTTGCACTATCATTTAAGTAGAATTTGTGACTGACCATGATCCATATGAATTATGCAGGAATGACAAGGTCAATGAATCTCTTGAGAGTTACAAAAAAGCCTTTGATGTTGTATTTTTGGTGAGTGGCCTGAATTGTGTGCCTCTTGTTTAATTTTGTTTAACTACTGATATTCTAATAATTTTGTTTTGGTCAAAGGTTGTTGTAGTCGCTCTGTCCTTCTCTGCTTTATTCCTCCGTTTGATCTTTTACTTTGGGCCAGTAAATGAGGGGCTATGAGAGAGCGTTATTAGAAGTAGGGTATTTTATTATAGTATGTGGGATCATAGTTGTTAAGCTGTTGATGTCTACTTTATCCAATGTGCTTTGATTCTGTGGAAAAGACCTACAGAATGACTTTTTTTTAGCTTTTTTCATTGAGTCCAACTGTCCAAGGGAGTCACAAGGGAGAGAGGGGATTTGAACCTGTGATACACTGACCTATCGTATACAATCTCTCAATATTTGTCATTAGGCCAAAACCTCATTGGTATGACTGACCTAATCATAGGTGCTGGCATGCTGCTTAGTGATCCTATTTTTTTCATACGGTCTGACTTGAGACCTAGGATCTTTGGGTGAATGCATTTTGGTGTGGATTGCATAAAAATTTAAACATAAACAATGTTTAGCCTGCCAATGAAATTGATTCCTTATACTAAGGATTGAACTTTTCCGTACATTTAAGAAAACAGAATGTGTCAGATCTATATTTTGACAGGATAAAATAAATACTTCGTAAAAAAGATAGTACAGTCTGAGAGGAGTTTTGTCAACAGATTTATGAAAATGCTGTATCTCAACATTCATTTTGCTTCTTGGAGTGAACTGTTTTGTATTGAAGCGATCTTCTGTTCCTTTAGAACTTAAACATGGAACTAAACATCTGTATTTTTTTTTTTTTTGCAGAATGATGCCCCGATGTCGGGAGTTGTCAACCTTCTTTCTCAGCTAATCAAAGATGGATGATGTATTGACTACATGCCTTGTATTCTTTTCACATCAATTCCTTAAGTCAACAATCTGTGCGTATTGAAAATACAACATACGTTGGGAATTATGGTTTTAGAGACTAATCAACTGCTAGCATTTTCAACTGGGTATATGATCGTCAGATTGAGCCATGATCTTAGCCAAGTATTTTACGCTTCGGTAATCATGATTATTGTTTATTCATGTTGACATAATTGTTAGAATAATTTATTGTTGTACGAATTTGTCTTCTTAAACTTAATAACAACCACATCTTTTCATTATATTTTCTTTTTTCTTATTTTGATTAATGTCTTGCTCTATTAGTTTGCTTTCAGACATGGTGGTGATATTCTGCATAGCACTCATCACATATGCCCTATTTCCTGTGGCATTTGATGAATGTGCAATAATGCACTGTCACTTCTGTTGGGTGTTACTATTGCCATATCTACAACTCTGAGCGATTTTCCTAAATATTGCTCGATAATGGAAAAAATAAAATAAAATAAAAAAAAAAAAAAATCTCAATGAAAATACTTCAAATTTTAAATTTAGCATGCTGCTCACAATTTTAAGATTTTTTTTCCTCACCTAAAATTACCCAAAATATTTCAGATGAGAAGATTATTTTGAAATGGAAGAAGTATTTTCCAAATCTGAAAATTTTAAAACATTTTCTAAAATCGTTTTCTTTACCAAATTGTATACATTGATAAACATAGATAAACTAACACAAATAAAGCTAGTGATCACATCAAATTAATTTCAAAATAAGCAATTACTTGAATAAGTTAAACCGAACATAGCCTTAAAAGCGAGAAATTCCTCCCTCCACACAAATTTACGCGAACGCGAAATGTCTTACATATTCAATGCGCACGATACCAAAAATAAGCAAGATTTTCCATGCAAGATATGGGTTGTGCGTAGAAGCAAACACAGCAAAGTGGCAGACACATACGTAATACACCACATAATTATAAAGTGGCAGACAAAACACATACTTTTAGGCTTTATTATGACATCCCATTTAGATTGGTGCAACTTCAAAGTCAAAGTCATAATTTGCAAAATCATTATCAACTAAAGTTCATCAACATTAACACATCTTCTCCCACCAAATTTGGGTGTGCTTGTTCCATGCCTGTAGGCTGTAGCATCTTGTGTGCAAGAAACATTAATTCAATTGGATTTAAAATTCACTTTAAACCCCTATTTAATGTAATTGCCTGTGCTTTAGAAAAATAGCTGTCACATTAGTTATTTTAGAAAAATAGCTATCACATTAGTTATTTTAGAAATCATGAATGACGACAATCAAATTAGAATATCATAAATAGTATTTTGTATATGTGAATGTGACTATACAATCAGGAAGTAGTTTAAGCTGTCACACCATTGCATTTCTAAAGTACATGTACTACTAATATATTTATATACTACCTACATTTTTTTTACATGTTTCTTTTATCACGTGCATCAATGCATAATGTTTACGATTATCTCTAATTATAAACATTGTAAATTTACAACGAGACGATTCAAAATAAATCACAAAAACTAGTTAAATTGTAGTTTGCACGTCAACTAAAAAACTGGTTGAATTAGTATTACCGAATATAATAAATGTCTTCTACACATTGATACATTATATTTAATTAACTCAAGTAAAACATAAGTCAAATTTGCAAGTAGATAACTTTTACAACGTACGCAAGTATTTGATATTGGAAAACATTTGTCTTTTCATATATGTCAATTTATTACTCCTTCATAAAAGCAAATGGAATTGCATCACTTCAAATTTTCAAATTCACCCGAATGAAAGACCAGAAAGACAAAAGCCTCTACTTTTAACTTTTTAACTAAGCTCTAGCATCTGAAAAATCTCACTGAAACAAATAACTGTACTATATAAGAGAAGTTGAAGCAAAATTAAAATAAAAACACTTTTATTATCATGTTATAATATGGCATAACAGTTTATCTCTATACTAAGCGCAAAAGATCACCCTGCACTTTTGAGGGCGAAACGCACTCACAAGGGCTTAGTAAGATTAATTACACATAATGCCTCCTGTAAGACCTTAAACGTCTGTTTAAAAAAAGAAAACATGGAGAAAATAAAAAAACCCTCCAAAAAATTATGAGTTAGAATGGACAATATGTATAATCCCTTCTCAATTTTTTTCCTAAGCAACAGCGACTGTCATCATTGATGCTGGTACGTCAACTGCTACTGGCCACCATTATTGGTGCTGGTACTTGATCAACTGCCATTGATGCATGTACATCAGCCGCTGGCAAAATTGGAACAACACCTGCTATCTCCAAAGCTATATACTCAGCAGGTGCTGGAAAAAACTGCTGCTTAGTGAAGTTAAACTCTATCTGTAGTCGCTGGTGAATCGGGGCTGAAGACTTCAATCCCTTCTTCATATCAATCTGCAACTCCCTTATTGGGATGGCAGCCAAGAACCTCTTTATGTACTCCTTGCAGGAATCTTTACCTCTGCAATGCACCTTCTCTTCCTTTATCCCTTGTGCACTTTCTGATTCCTGGTCAGACGAAACTTGCTGTTGACCCGTTGATGAAGAAGCCTCCACTATTGCAGACTTTGTTTCAGTGGGCTTTGCATCCTCTGATGATGAAGTTTGACAAGGTAATGTTTCGATGGTGGTGTCATGGTTGAATTTGAGAACAAAAGCTTGATTGCAGCCCTCGTAAAGCCTTTCTCCCAATGTGTCAATGATGTAAAAGGCATCCCAGTCAACCCTGAGGATGAAAAAATGGTCATTCCAGCTCACAACATACACCAAAGGTTCACTATTGCAGTTTAGCTCTGATGCAACCCGGCAAATCTCATCCCATATATTGTCAAATGACATGGCACCCTGAAGGAAGCCAAAACACTCCTCTTCTAGCCCATCAGGATGAAAAAAACCAATGAAAGATCTCTCTGGGACGACAGAGAGGGGGCGGATTTTAGCTTGAATGACAGTCTCAAGATCAAAGTGCTTGTCAGGAAATTTCTCCCGGTAGTCCTCATTCTCACAGAGATTTCTCCACTGAAGGGAACCTTCTCGAATGAGGCTGTCAAATTCAGATTTTACAGGCATTTCCCTTTGGTTGGAGTGAAGCCAATCAGCAATGACAGCAACCAAAGCAGTGCATGCACTCTCACCAGCTGCCCTTTCACTTCTTTGATCGATTGAAGCAAAAAAGACTTGAGTTTGAAGCTTCAAGCTCCCATCACGGCTCAGAACCTCCTTTTGCTCCCAGCTACCGACAGCAAAGTTGTCATCCCCAAATTCAGAAATGTATGATGCACTTCCCATCGAACCTTCAAATTGCTGCAATTAATCAAGGATTCACAACCATTATTGTTTATTTATGCATTAGTCATGCCCTCCAACCATTTTTCTTGATTCCCCCAATCATTTAGACTCACAAAGAATTGCAAATTTAGATAAATGGAAACCACAAGTCCACAACAATACTCAAATCACATAACCATGCACTTGGCACAATTTTGAAAACTTAAAGACAGACTAACATACCCAAACATCATAATTTTTATATGCAACTAAGCTAAAACAATAACCAAAAAAAAAACAAACAAGAGTGATTTTAGATCGATGCTTACCGCTAAGGATTCATCAGAAAGCTGTCGGCGATAAAAATCAATATCATCTCCGCCTTCTTCACCATAGTCCTTCTTCAGTAATGGCTCTCCTTTGACCTTACGAGATTTAAAGCTCAGCTTTCCTTTCGTCCATGAAATACCAAATTTCGAACTCGGCCTCTGCAATTGCTCTGAAATCAATGTGTCATAATCTTGAGCAACAGAGCTGTCTACATGTGGTTTATGTCTGCCGTAATAAACCAAATCATCGCCCTCACAATTGACTCCTAGGTCAAGTGCTCCTCCAGCGAAGTTGGCATGGACTAAAGTGCCATAACTGCAGGATTTTTGAACATCCACATCCTCTTTACTTTCTTCTGATTCACCCTCATCAGTATCGCCAAATGAGTCTGTGTCGAAAGGGTCTGAATCCTCACTTCCAGTAGAGAACTTACTGTCACAACTGCCTTCTCCATTGTATGCCTTCTTCAATTTTCTAGATGAAACAAAATCTGTCAAGCTTTTAACTTTTCTTAGATTTGATTTAAAAGAAGAAGCTTCATCATTCTTGATCAGATGAGAAGCACCAAAACAAGGCGATAATGGAGCAAACATTATTGGTCTCTGCCCTTCAACTGACAGTTCTCGCGCAGATTTCAACTCCATCAAGCTAAGAGAAATCTGTATGCAGCAATAAAACTTGTGAGCATGGTTCACAAACATAACAGGAGTACCAAATGCAGCCACATAATTCTAAACCAAGTATATAAAAGAGCGGGGCTTACACAAAGAGAGGGGCTGCAATTGAAACCGCTATGGAGGATAGAAAGAGGAACATTGATGTCAAAATCATTCACATCTTCTTCCAAAGAAACAAATTCAGCAAGGTTTAATACAGCAGATGCTGTCAACGGAGCCATCTTCTTTGTTCGTTTCTCAGAACCCTAAATTTTAGAAACAGATCAGTAAATCCATTTTAAAAAAACACTCTTACATATCATTAACATAAATGAGACAAAGGAAAAGGACAATTAAGCTAAACAACCAACAAAAAACAATAAAAAGTAATTCAAGCAACAAAAAATTTCTGCAGCCAAAGTCATACTTTCTTAGAGTTGAACGAGAATGCCAAATAGGTTCCCACAATATTAACACGCTACGAGTTCAGACACAACCACGACAGCCAAGAAAAACCAATGACTTGAATTATTAGCTTAGCTGAATCAAATAGATATGCATCATGACAGCAAGATAACATAATAGTGCATCATCGATCACATTGTCGGAATAAAAACAATAACATCATAGGTCACGAAAGTGCAAAACATTGTAAAATTATAGATTTGTGTATCATCATTAACAAGTTCACTCAGAAACAAGATTCATGTGCTAAAAACCTTGGCTTAATCAGTCAGTCAGTTCAATCCAATATCCAACCAGTCGTAAAATTCAAACCAAAAACATATTTTTTTATATATATCCCTAAAAATCAGCATATGCATTACCAGAAAAAAAATACCTAACAAAAACAGGATTATTTTTTTTAACGAGGTTTAGTCCAAGAATCAAGGCATATGGATAATTCTAACCTCAAAATTTAAAATTGATCAACAAAAATTCCGATTTTCAATGCAAATCAACAACCGCACATGATCATCCCATGAAAATAAAATATACAAAATAAATAAACAAAAAAAAAAAAAAAAAAAAAAAAAAAAAAAACAAAAACAAAACATGCAGCTGTCACAAAATCAAACAAAATTTAAGGAATCTATGAAATTCAATACCCACATAATAATCCAAAAAGTCAACTTGGATATATGATCAACATCAACATTTAATCTCAAAGAAGTAATCTTTAAAATCAACATCCACAAATTAAAACAAAAACTAAATACATAAATTCATATGTTAATTGAAAACTTACATAAAAGACCACCAAAGAGACTTCACAAGGATGAAAAACACCCTCAATCTTATCTTTAGACCCACAAAATTGACAAACCCTCGTAAATTCTTCATCCCACTGAACGACACCGTTTTGACCCAATCTCTCTTCCCTTGAAATTAATTTCTTGACACCCTTGTTTTTCAATGATTTAAACCCATTTGATTTAGGGTTTTTCCACTTAATCTCCACCCTAAATTTATAATTTTCATCATCATCTTTCTCTTCTTGAATTAAATTTAACCCTTTAATTGAACCAACCACAATTTTAACCTCAAATTTTCTCGATTGAAGTGGTGGCAACCATGGCCTCCACTTGATCATATTCACAACCATTAACAAAGATTAAAACTTTTACACAAAAAAAAAAAAAAATCAAAATTTGCACAATTGGTTCACTTTTCTCAAATGGGTATCTGGAATTTTTGGGAAATTTTTGGTCAAAAAAGAGGATGAGTAATTGGAATTTGAAGAAGTGGAGGGTTAAAGTAGAGTGGATTTTTTTATTTTATTTTTAATATAGAATTTACTTTGTTTTAATGTATTTGGGATATGAGGAAGAATATATATAATGGGTTATGAGTTGACTTTTTAGGGGATTAGAGTGGGTGAAATTGTGAAAATAAAATATTTTTTAAAAAAAAAATTGATAAAAAAAAAGGTCTTTAAAAAAAAGTTGAAAGTGAGGGGTGATGTGTTTTTGACAAGTAATGATGGTTGTATATTCACATACAAATTCCACTTCCACCACCGATTTGGATACAAATAGGTGGCAAGATTGAGATACAAGGCCGGCACTATTTTACTAAAGCTAAAACATAACGTCTCACTCTTCTTCTTTTTTTTATTTTCCATTAACAAATTAATTAGGAAATATGTGGATAGGATTGTGTGTGACAAGTTTTTGAAACTATGTGGAAATTAGTTAGTAGTGTTGTACACACATAGATTCATAAAGGCAATGATGTAGAGTAAGAGATGATAAAAATTGACATGGTACGATAACATAATAAATTTTTTATAAATTAATTGAATGAGGCTAATTTTTTTTCGTAGAATACGAAAAAAGCGAATCAATGTCAAAGATTTTCGACACGTTTAATAAATCGGGTTAACAAAACGTGATTGTAGGCATCAATCAAAGCGTGCCTACTTAAGCATGGGTGTGAATAGGGGTGTACAAAAATTGGCCCGGACCTGAAACCGGACCTGAACCGACCTGAACCGGACCGGACCGGACCTGACCCGGACCTGTTGATTCAGGTCCGGTCCCGGTTCTTAAAAATCCAGGTTCCCGATCTCGGTCCGGACCCGGTCCAAACCCGGGGTTTTCAGGTCCGGACCTGAAACCCGGGAAAATCGTAATTAAAAAAAAAAAAAAAAAAAAAAAACAAGAAAATATCTGATTCTCTCAGCCTCCCTCAATCTCTTTCATATTTTTAAGTTCTAACCCTAACTCCCTAAGCCCAAACTGATTCTCTCAGCCTCCCTCAATCTCAACTTCTCAACGCGGCTGTCCCAACTCGCTTCGGCCACCGCCCACTGCCGACACCTCCCTCATTCTCTCAGGCGATGCACACCGATAATATCTGGTAAGTATTTGCTTATAATTTTGGTATTTTTAATTCGAAATAATAAATTAAGTGTGAGAATTTATATGTTTATTCTTGTTTCAAATTTTCAATTGCTTTTAATGATTGTTTGATGTTTGCATGTTGAATTTCTTATTTTTAGTTCATCTCTTTCGAATTTCTGTTTTTTTTTTTTTTTGGTTTTTTTGAGTTTAGGGTTCATAAGAATTAAGAAGTTTAGGGTTTAGGGTTCAAGTGCGAAATTTAGTTCGAAATTTTGTGTTTATTATGATTATTAAGATTAATTTAGTGCGAAAATTTGTGTTTATTCCTAAAGTATAAGTTATTCAAGGTAATATATGTCTCCACTTGAATTATGGGTTGGGGTGGTAGGGTGGGTTGGGGTGGGGTTATGGTGGGGTTACGGTGGTACGATTCTGGTGTGTGGGGGTTAAGGGTTAAGGGGTGGCAGTGGGGTGGGGTGGGGTGGGTTGGGGTGGTGAGCAGGGGTGTGGGCAGTGGTGGATCTGGGTAGGGTAAGGGTTAGGGATGGGGCTGTTTTTTATTTATTTATTTATTTTTAACCAACCTGCAAATTGATCCAACATAATGCGGCACAACTTAGTAACTTACTACTTCGTAATAAATTTTGATCGTTGAGAAATTTTTTGGATGAGTAGTGAACTAGTGATTCATTATATTAATCATTGTTTGGTTTTCTAATGAATAATGAATGGACTTGCACTTATTAAACTAACTCATACTCCGTATCATATACGCTATTTACCTGGTATTGATATTTCTAATGTGTATATATGGACACTTTTTAAGCTAACTTATACTTTAAAATTTGTGTTTATTCCTGCTAGGCTGCTAAAAGTATGGACTCAGATTATTAAGATTAAATAAGTTGGCTAACCTGTGTGTAGTTCAGGGGTTCTTATTTTTGTTTTTATTCTTGCAGGGAGTGAAGGAAGTCAAGGAACCACGGATTCTTATTCTTGCAATGTAAGTTGCTCTTAAATTTTTTTATAAAATGGTATGTGTATATAATTGTTACTTTAAAATTACTTATATTGTATATAATTATATTGTAGATGGAGAGCTCTCAATCTAAACGGTCTGCTTCTTTTTCTGAACAAACGTCACAGCCACTTTCTGAAAAGGATATGGAAGAATTGCAATCTACTTTGCCTCCTGATAAGAAGCTAAAAGCGGGGCGGGAATATATATGGAACAGAAAAAGTAAGAGGAAAGCTGAGTATTGGAAATATTACTTAGAGTACGTCGAGAATGGAAAACTACGAGCTGAATGTAAGTTCTGTCCTAAAACTTTTGCTGCTGATGGTAATCTTAATGGTTCAAAAAATGTTAAAAACCATGCAGAATCATGTCTCGGTAATCCTATTAATATAGAAAAAGAAAAGGGCAAAGAAAAGCAAACTAAATTGTATTTTGATCAAGAACATGAGAGTAGTGAATTAAAGTGTGGGAGTAGGATTATTAACTTGAATGATGTTAGAGAGGCATTGATTCACATGATTATTGTTGATGAGTTACCATTTAAGCATGTGGAAAAACCCGGTTTTAGGCACTTTGTGCAAGTTGCATGTCCACAATTTCACATTCCATCTCGTGTTACCATTGTTCGTGATTGTTTAAAGTTGTATTATAGTGAAAAAGAGAAATTGAGAGAAATGTTTAAGACATGTCAAAGAATTTCTGTGACCACTGATACTTGGACTTCAATACAAAGAATTAATTATATGTGTCCTACAGCTCATTTCATTGATAATGACTGGAAATTGAATAAAAAGATCATAAATTTTTGTCCAATTTCTAGTCATAAAGGAGAGGCTATTGGAAAAGCAGTTGAGGCATGTTTAGAGTATTGGGGTATTGATGATAAACTTTTTACTGTCACTGTTGATAATGCTTCTTCAAATGATGTTGCTTGTGCACACTTGAGTAGAATGGTTAGAAGAACAGGATGTATAAATGATGGAAAAAATCTTCATGTTAGATGCATTGCTCATATCATTAATTTAATTGTGTGGGATGGTATTAGAGAACATGGTGTGTGCATTGATAGAGTTAGAATTCCCCTGCAAGAATACTTAGATTCAAAGATCTTGTGCAAAAAGCAAACATAGATTCAAAATCTTCTTTATCCTTTGATGTCCCCACTCGTTGGAACTCCACATACATAATGTTGGAAACGACTTTGAAGTTTCGACGTGTTTTTAGTGGGTTATCTCTTCCTGATGGAGAGGATTTGAATGACAATGAAAGGCCTCCAGAACCCGAAGATTGGGAAAAAGTGGAGAGGTTGGTTTTGTTTCTAGAGGGGTTTTATCTGTTAACTAAACGAATTTCTGGTTCCCATTATGTGACAGCTAATAAAGGTTTAGGAGAAATTGCTTCTATGTATGATATGTTGAATAATTGGGAACAAAGTGAGGACTTGAATTTTCAAGCTATGGTCATTGCAATGAAAAAAAAGTTTGATAAGTATTGGGGGGATGTGGATAAGATGAATAAGTTCATTTATGTTGCTCTTCTTCTCGACCCTCACTCTAAGATGGTCATTGTTGAATTGACACTAACGGATATGCATGGACCGGAAAAGGGTACAAAACTTGCTAATGATGTGAAGGAGTTCGCTTACTCTTTATTTGAGGAATATAGAAAAATGTATGCTACTTCTAATATTCCAGATTGTGGAGATAATATGTCAATGGATATTGATAATAGTAAAGGAGTGGGTTCCGATTATGTGAGGAAACTAAAAGAAAGAGCAAAACGATTGAAGGGGACAAGTGGGTATGCGATAAGTGAGTTGGATAGGTACTTAAATGATCAATTAGGGCCGGAGGAGGAAGAACAAGATGCATTGACATGGTGGGGTAAGAATGGTCAGCGTTATGTGATTCTTAATCGCATGGCACGTGACATACTAGCCATCCCATTGTCGACCGTTGCATCGGAATCTGTTTTTAGTACGGGAGGTCGTACTCTAGATCCATTTCGGAGTTCTTTAACTCCTAAGGTAATGCATCGTTATCTTTTTATTTTATAAAATCAAGTTTGTTTATATCTTAATATGACTTTGTTTATACATATTTGTGTAATATTTTTGTATTGAAGATGGTTCAAGCGTTACTTTGCACACAAGATTGGCTTAGAGCTAAGGAAGTGCCAATTGTTGATGTGGAAGAAAATTTGAAAGAGTTAGAGGAAATAGAGAAAGGTAGTAATAATTTTATGTATTTGAAATTTTGTTACACCAAATTTATTATTTCATTGTTATCAATCATTAATATATTCTATATTGTATTTTATTTAGAGGTGCAACGTGGTGAATCTAACGATGTAGACGATGAAGTTGTTTTCGTGGACTCATTAGTGTGAATCACGCGATCAAAGGGAAAACAACTCGTTGGAGAATTTATGTATTTCTAGTACTTGAGAGTTGAGACTTAAGAGAATTTATGTAATTTTATGAGTTTTCGTGGACTTATTTGTATTTTCGGTGGACTCATTTGTATTTTTGGTGTTTGAGAATCGGGACTTTATAGACTTTATGTAGTTTTGTAATTGATAATTTTGGTTTGTATGTAATTATTAAATTATGCAACAGGTCTAAAAATCACAAAACAGGTCCATATGCAGGTCCAACAGGCTTTGTATTAAAAAAAAAAAACGAAAAAGACACAAAACAGGTCCATTCAGGTCCAAACCCGGACCGGACCTGATTTTTCAGGTCTGGCCCGGAACTGGACCTGTTAATTCAGGTCCGGTCCCCGGTCCTCATAATTACCCAATTCAGGTCCCCGGTCCAAACAGGTCCGGTCCAGGTCCGGTCCGGTTTTGGACCGGTGTACACCCCTAGGTGTGAACGTGATTGACAAACATTAGAAGTGGGATTTGACATTATACAATTAGGAACAACGGATAAAGTAGGAAACTGCCAATAAGTTTATAAGGAACTTGTAAACCGTTCATAGATTCTAGGAAAAGTGACAAAGGCAACTACAAATCTAATCCATGAAGGTCATACCCCATTCAAAATCCATAAGATTCCTAACTCTGTATGGTCATAAACCACAATTAGGGGATCGAGAATGATGGTATGAAGTTGAGTCATTGAGACAATCTAGCCCGTATTGGCCTGTACTCAATTCGTATTGTGA